CAATCGGTCGGCGGAAGAGGGGAGTATGCGTATCATAAAATGTGCATCATACCTAGTTTATTATATCATGCTTATCTCTAATCTTCATGGTCACGCGACATCTAGTGATTACAAAAATCTTTATTTTGATGTATATTGATTCAAAAGACCGATCTACTTTTAAGAATCGCCTACGCTATTCATAACATCGCTAGCTATCATAAAAACGATTCATTTTAGTGAGTCGAATCAAATGATTTGATTCATTTTTCCCATCCTAGTTTGTAGGTAATGGTGGTACATACACTTTATCTTTTATGTAGCCCCATAAAAAAAAATCACACACTGTGTGGTCACGGGAACGTGGTGGCCAGGGATGAATCTCCAAATCGTTGTTTCCCTTACGCCCAATCTACCGCTGAGGGAGTTCACCGTTCAAATACCGGCATACCAAATTTATCAGCTAGATAACTTAAAATAAACTTATTAGTTATCTAATATTTTCATTAATACGTTGGTCATTAACCTGCTATTAACTGTTGCCGAACTATATCAGTTCGTAATCGGACGAAGACTTTTGAAACCCTCTGTATTATAGATAAATTTAAAATGTTAATTACTTACCAGAATTAACTATCCATATTTTGGACCTTTCTTCGTTTAATGGAAAAGGATGAAATATTATATTTGATGTACTTCTACGTGTATTTGTGCAGTTAAAATATGCACATTTGTCACTAGATATTTTAATTATTTGAGAACAACACAGTAGTCAATAAAAAGTATAAATGACTTCAAAATAACATAACAAGACACAATTCTATAGATATTACGAGATACTCAGATACTTTATTTTTTTATTTTATTTTACAAATGCACATACACAATCTATACAATTTTGCACAATAAGCGTATTAAGATAAGAGTTTAAAAAAAAAACATGGAATGCTTGGATAAGAAGCCACCCATTAGTGGCACTTATTTACTTGACGTTATATTTTGGGTCATTAATGAGCGATATTTAATTTAAAAGGTCACGACACCATTTCCTTTTGAGTCTACATTGTGGATTTCCGGTGAGTGAGAAGGTAGCTCTTTTATTAGAGGGTTATGGTGATTTTCAAGTCTGTCGAAAAAATGTTTGTAAAATAGTTTCCCTTCAGTTACAAAAGGTAGTATACCTAGATCTTGGTGGAGAGTTAAATTAGAGACGTAGAAGGGAGCGTTAGTGATTTTTCTAAGGATAATATTCTGAAAGACATGAATTTTGTTTCTATTTGTTTTTTTGGCCGATCCCCAGATTTGTAACCAGTATGTCCATATTGGCTTTAGGAGAGTTTTGTATACAAGTAGTTTTGTTTTTAAGCTAGTAAATTTATTTTTTGATAATATTGTTTTTAGCGATCTAGATCGAGCGTTAAGGATCAATCTTTTAGCTTTTATACGTTTGTTCCAAGTTAATTTTTGGTCAAGAATTAATCCTAAATATTTAACAGCATTGAGTGGTGGAATACGTATGTTATTTAATTGAAACATTTGGGCATTGACTGTGTCTAAGGGTAAAAGTTGTATGAACCGACTTGCTGTGATTTACTTTTACACGCTATTTTTCATACCATTCAGATTGTAAGTTAGTAGAGGCTATAATTGGATCGTTATGAATTGAAAAAATTACTTTATCATCTGCATAGTCGGCATCATAAGTGTTTGGAGTTGTTGGCTGATCATAGGCATATAAATAAAGAGTATGGGGGAGAGGATTTCTCCTTGAGATACATCGGCGAAAATTGGGGCTATATTTGATGTTGCTGAGCCTAAACGTATTTGGAAGTGGCGGTTTGTAAGGTAAGATTTAGTTAAAAGAAAGAGCCGTGGGGTAAAAAATTGCGACGTTTGAACAGGAGGCCCTCGAGCCATACTCGGTCGAAGATCTAGGATATGTCTAAGAAGACAGCAGCTGTGCAATAGCATTTTTTTTCGAGAGATGTGCTTATAGCATCAACCACTCTATGGACTTGGTGTATCGTGCTATGTTTAGCTCTAAAGTCAAATTGTGCAGGAGGGAGTATATTGTTTTCAAGTATATGAGGATACAATCGTTTAAGAATTAGCCTTTCAAAGATTTTTGAAAGGTATGGTAAAAGACACTCAGATACTTATCTAATAAATAACAACCAAGTCTTAAAAAAAATGTAAATGATCAACAAGTGATCGTTCAATTTGTACGTCCGTAATGCGCAAGTTTTCCGCTTGTGTACTCTGAATCAATATAATATAATTCCAATATTTTGTACAAGCGTACAAGCACTGAATATAAATAGTAAAAGTTTAATGATACTATTTATAGTCAATAGTATAATTTAAAAGAGCCGAAAATACTTCGCATTGAGTCTGAGTGTAACTTGAAGTCTATTGGTTATAACAAGTTGACTGCCACGAGGACCATATTTGGTACTCACGTGGTTTGTCTCCTGTGCCACATATTTTAAACACGTTATGTTCTACAGGCTTTGAGTACCAATTCTGGTACTCACACCATTTGACTTTCAGGGTTTGAGGGTCAATTAGGGTACTCACTATTTTTCGTGATTACGTCACTGAGAACCGTTTCTGATGCTCAATTCGTTTAATGGAGTAGAAAGAGGAGAAAATTTCAAACTGAATACAGCAAACAGCGCTCAAATTTAATGTTTTTTTAAAATTCAACACTGGACAAGAAGTATTACTGTTTAAAGGACCCAACCTAACCTAACCTAACCAGACGAACTTGAAGTAGAAGCGTCATAATTTTCATTTAAACTATTTGAAGCAATTATATCATCAGTGTCAGAAGCGTAATTTTCATGTGAGTTATTCGAAGGGATATCATCATCAGTATCAGAATCCTATATAAAAATGAAATGGGTAGTATAAATTTTCTATTAAATTATTTACTATTATTAGTTAAGGTCATACACGATAAAAGTTGTGCATTATCTATATATTTATGATAAAATGATTGAAGTTTGTACACTTAAAACGATATACAAAAAAACATTATAAATTAGGCGATATTTACCAAAGCAGTCAGGATCTGCATCACTATTATCAAATTCAGATAACTTATCTGATGACCAAAGAGCTTGAACAATTTCGTCGTCGTTCATTATAAAATAATAATCAATAACGTCAGAACTCGACGATGACTCGAATGAAAATAAACGTATAACTGAATAATATGATACAATAGGCATCGAGTACCATATATATCGCGATCGGGTTATTAAGAACCTAACGTCGACGATGACTCGAATGAAAATAAACGTATAACTGAATAATATGATACAATAGGCATCGAGTACCTACCATATATGGTACTCACTCCAAATCGGTTTATTTTTCGTTTAAATATTATTAAAATGACATAAATAAACAATTACGATAAGAAAATTATAAGAAATATGAAAAAAAACCCATGGCCCATGTTAGCATCTGTCTAAAAATACGACAGCACATGGGACAAACACAGCGAGTATCTATTCTGGTACTCATAGCGTTTGAGGACAGCTCTATAAAAACACCGTGGCAGTCAACTGATATATATATACTGATAATATTTTTATTTATGGAATAATATTTCAATTTACAAAATATATATGATGATTGATGATAATGACTGTACTATAATATGGTAAATATTATGTGTAAATGCGTAATGTACTAACTACTAATGTGTTATAATAAAAACCGTACATACTTATATACTAATATACATACTATACACATAAAATAATATGACTATGCAATAACTAATTAATATATTTGAATAATTAGGGACTGATTTAAAAATAAATATTCAACCAATTGTGGGGGGGGGGGGTGTCACCGTTTCACTTACAACTTATATTAAAAATTGAAGACTAAAAAAAGTGTATTCAAACAAAAATTAATTTTTACTTTGACAAAGGTAATTACATTGATTATAAATACTAGTATTTAGTATCAATGATAATAATTAAAGTTTAATCGTTTTATTTTATTATTTTTTCAAGCACTCGTGGGTAATGATTTTCATCAAAAATCACATTTCTGGATACAACCATATTTAATTGAATTGTTAAGCTCTGTTGTTATAATTGTAAAGAAAACAGAACTACTAGCCGAAATGGAAAGGGTATATTTTGGCCACCCATCTAGGATTATATTACTATGGATAGGTATTTAATATTTATTATTTTGTAATCGTTGGCAGTGCGCCAATGTAACAAGTTAAGTACCAAGTTTACAGTATAGTATTATACGAGTATTGTCTTTGTAGACGCTCAAAGAATTGAAACCTAGGTAGGTCAATAAGTACGTCTGCCTCTATTGTGAATATAGTGATGGGCGATTTAAATCGATTTTTTAAAAAATCGATTTTTTTTTGGTCGATTTATCGATTTTTAAATCGATTCTGCTAGGGCGATTTTTTTGTGAAATCGATTTTTTTTTGGCCGATTTTATCCGATTTTCTCTTTTTTTTTTTCTTGTATTTTTTTGAAATTTTGTATTGGTCACATTTTCTTTTACATGATAATAATGGTAATTGTAATCACTGTTCAATATATCTACAACCGTGATTGTAATAAATATTTTTGATAATGATACTGCAAGATTATTCGTTTACTACTCTATGGTTTATACCTAACGGCTAACCGTCCTGACCACCTTATCGGGCTTATCTATATTCTACAATATACATAATAGTATTATAGTGATTAGTGTCTAGTGATTATATTATACACTATTATACACTAAACACTTTGCCACTTTGGTTTTTGACAGTTTGACTATTTAGTAGTATTTACTGATTTTACAATTTACTGTCAATTGTCAATTGTCATATTGTTCTTCGGTTCTTCCGTTCTTCGTTAATCGTTTACGTGTGTCGTGTACAGCTGTGGTTGTGTCATTGTGAATTGTGAATACGTGTGGAGTGTGCCTTGTGCAGTGGTTCAGTTCAGAGAAGTAGTGAATACATTATAGTATTATACAATAGTACTATGTCTTCGACTTCAAACATGTGGAATTACTTTGTGAAAGTTGATAAGCCTCATAAGGGTGGTTGTTGTAAATTATGTAATGTTGTCGTAAGAACTGGTGGCAATACAACCAACTTAAAGCAGCACCTAAAGCGCAAGCACCCCTCATTAAATGCCTCAAAAAATGCTAAATGTTCTAAATCAAACGCCATTGTTTACACTTCAGTTGAAGACGATGAAGCCGATTCTCTATTTGTTCAGTCCACGGTAAGTATTATGATTTAACTATTGAAATATGTCAATATAATGACATGGACATTTCATATGTTTAAAATATATGATATTAATTTTTAATTTCAGTCTGGTGCTCAAACCACCTTGGATACAGTGGTTTCTCAGTCTCGACCAGAATCTTCATGTTCCCTACATTCTGATTATGACTCGTTGATATCAAAAACGAGCGAAACATTGTCTGTGGTATCAAATCTAACTACTGCAAGCAGATCGTCAACGAGCACGAAATTAATACAACCAACAATCTATCAATCAATTAGTGAATTCAGATCATATGAAAGTAAGAGGCAATATTTAAGTATTCAGGGATTTAACAAAACATTTGTATTTTATTTTATAATTGCATGATGCCATGATCTATAATAGGTAGCAATATTAAAAACTAAACAATATAATATAATATATATGTTTGTATGCTTAAATTAACTAGTTTTTAATAAACATATTGTATGTTAACTTTATTTTTAAATCTTAATAATTTTTTTTTAGGTGGAGGCACAAAAAATGTAACCATAACAAATGCATTGGTTTATATGTTGGTGAAAGACAACATGCCGCTTTCTACAACTGAAAAAGATGGTTTCAACTACTTCGTAAAAAGAGCTCTGCCATTGTATAAAGCACCATCAAGAAAGACCATAACAAAACTTATTAGTTCCAAGTACGATGTATTATCGGGTAAAATAAAAAATAAATTATCTTCGGTGGAAAGTATCACACTTACTACAGACATATGGACAGATACTATCAATACCAAAAGTTATCTTGGTATTACAGTTCATTTTCTAAGTGTCTGCAAATTAAATTTAGAAAGTGTGGTACTTGGAGTGTTAGAACTTGATGAGCGTCATACATCTGAAAATATTGCCAAGTGGCTGGACAGTGCTCTTCAGGAATGGGGTATTGAAAAACGTCAAATTTTTTTGGTCGTAACTGACAATGGTGCTAATATTAAAAGCGCTGTGAGCACGTGTTTTGGTAAGGATAAACATTTGCCATGCTTCGCACATACGATAAATCTTGTAGTACAAAACGCATTGGATAACACTGACAATGTTGCTACTTTAATAAATAAGGTAAAACATTTAGTTACATTTTTCAAGCAATGTGTATCTGCATCTGACGAGCTGCATAAAGTCTGTGCATTTAAATTAAAGCAATCAGTTTCAACAAGGTGGAATTCTGTGTATTATATGTTAGACAGGTTTATTAATTGTTCTGACCATGTAGCATCTATTATCGTGAAGTTCCATAAAGGTCCTACCATGATAACTGGTTCTGAGCTGTTTATTGCTAAAGAAATCGTGCATCTACTAAAACCTTTCGAATCTGCTACTAAAGAATTATGTGCCCAAAAATATATAACAGGTAGTAAAATTATCCCATTGATGCATTGCTTGATAAAAAAAATTGAATCAGTAGAAGTGAATGGTGTTGTTGCTTCGGCTTTAAAATCTAATTTAAGTAACAATTTACAAACCAGATTTGGTAGAGTAGAGTATGTGGAAATTCTTTCCATAGCCACAATTCTTGATCCCCGTTTTAAAACCTTACATTCCAATAGTGCAGTGGCTTCTTAAAAATTCATCAATGCAATTAAAAAAAAAATTTTAGAACTTAGAACAGACTCCAGTGAAACCAGTTCACATAATGAAAGTTCTTCTGAAGATGACCCTGATAGCTTATGGGCAGTACATAGACAGTTAGTGTCAAAAAAAGCCTTAACTGAACCGAGCATAAATGTCAACGAAATGCCTACAGATCTTAAGCATTACTTAAACCAACCGACAGTGCCATTAACTGATAATGTTTTAAGTTTTTGGGATATTCATGGACCCATTTATCCTCATTTAAAAAAAATTGTAGATCCTTATTTATTAATGGTAGCTACTTCTGTACCTTCGGAGCGTCTTTTTTCTAAAGCAGGTCAAGTTATGACTGATAGTCGTAACAGGTTAACAGGTGGTAACCTTAATAAACTCCTTTTTCTTGGATCACTGTCAGTAAATGATTGGCAATTAGAATAAGACATTTTCAATAAAATCAATATTATATCTTTATTGTATTTCTTATTTTTTCAAATATTTAAATTTAATATAATGTGTTAATTGTATCAGTTTTGTTAATAAAGAAATTCATAAAAACATCAGTGTTCAATTATTTGTGAATTATTGAATTAATTGTGTTTAAATTTTAATAAACATTACTACACACAAGTCAGTGTACATTATTTGGCATCAATAACTGTGTGTAGCATATTATGTCATATGGTATACTTGACCTAGTAAAATAATTAAATAAATTTATGATTTTATTGACAAGTGTTGAATTACCAAGTATTTGAAAATTATTGCACATGGCAAGTATTTGTATTTCTGAATGGATGTTTTATGTGGGCAATATATACATTATAATATACATTATTATATATTATGTTAAGGTAAAACGCAGTAAAGTAAGGCGCACATAGGGTGTGAATTTAGGGGGTGCTGGAATAATTTATGGTACACAGAAACAGATCCACACTCCTGACCACCCTAATACTATAATAACTGCATTGCAATGATTATTAATTTGTATTTTGTATTTAAAATAAAAACAAATATTTAAAAGTAATTATATTATAAGTATAATATAATATGATAATATGTAATCATTAATTATTAATGTTAAACAAGATTTAATTTCCCTAAGCACCCCCAAGCACCCCCCTATGTGCGCCTATAGGTAAAACATTTTAAATTTGGTAATTTATTCAATAAAATTTTAAAAAATTAAAAAATTAAGGCGTATCTCCTCCCCCCTGTGACCAGCTATCACCATTTGGACACTGTCACTGTTCATTGAAGTGGTGAGTTCCGTTGTGATTGATGTAGTCATACAGGTACAACACTTTCCAGTGTATACTCGCTCCGAAATCAAGTGGGACTAAGGCAGGGAGTACTCGCACTGAAATTAATGAGTACAGAAAACCTTTATATATGAATCAATATGAACCCGGGCGTCACAAGGGAGAGCTAGAACATTACGTCAAAAAGCGCCATCTAGTTGTTTAAAAAATCGTTATTTTAAGAATCGATTCAAAAAATCGATTTTTTGGGCAACGATTTTTTTTGAATCGATTTTTTTCATTCCGATGTAAATCGATTCAAAAATCGATTCACCGACCTGAATCGCCCATCACTACTGTGAAAAACTCAAGACTAATCTTTACGACACTACTCCTATGAACTATACCAGCGATCATTGCGGTGCACGCCATAACTAAATATCGCGCGGAGCGCCACTAAGCGGTACTCGCCAGTCATTGCGCAGCGTATTTTGTACTGCAGTGAGCTATCTATAGTATTTATAATCAATGGTTGTACCTATAGTGCGGTCGACGAAAATTAGGCCGCGGTCGTCACGCGCATAACGGCTGTTTTTCGTAAAGGGAGTACTATCATTATTATTATTTTTTTTTTGTTTACTATAAACGTTAGTACATTACACGATTTGAAATTAAATTAGGCGGGAAAACGTTTGGAGACCCATGCCGTAAAACGGCCGGTATTCGCGTGACGATCGCGGCCTACTTTTCGTCGACCGCATGACTAAATAAACAGGCATGATCGCAAAAAAACCAATTTTTCCTATCACTGCGCATTTTCCCCAGACTTGGCAGAAACAGTAAAATACCTAAGAAGAAAAAATATTTTATTGTTCATAATATTATTATCATGACCATGACTATGACAACATTCGGCATTCATGACTAAATAAATTTAGTTTAGTTTAGTTTTTAATTTAGTTTAGTTTAGTCATGACACCATTATTCATTAAAAAATAATAATTAAAATATTAAATGAAGTAGACAATTAGGGTGACACATCATAGGGGATTCAATGCAGGAGCATAATAGGTACAGTTCAGTTGTTTATTATTTATTTTATGAATTTTTTTAAGTTTTTCCGTTGTGTATTTTTCTGTGTTAAATATTTCAATTTTGACTTCTGTTTTTCTACCTTATTCATTTCTCGTATACGTATGTACATTCTTGTTCGGACCAGACATTCTATGACTTCATTTGGTATGCATTTTTCATTTACATGCTGATTGACTATAGTGGTTAATTTTTTGACGATACCCCTTTCATTATCAAATTCTTGCATAAAAATGGTTTCAAGGACTTTTGACACATTCAAAAGATCTTTTGATGGACAAGTAAGAAACCCTAAAAATAATAAACAGCAATTTTGATTATTTAACAACATTTTTTCAGATTACTGGAATGCAGAATACAAACTACAAATAACCTTTTGATATATAAGACATCCATGATCCACTTTCAAAATTTGTTTCATTGCTATTATCCTCTAGGAATGGATATTTATTTTTAAATTTTTTTGCTACAGAACCAGATATATACATCAAATTATCTTCCTCGCATGGATCTTTTGCAGTGTATAATTCTTCAACAGTTGTCTAAAACCATAATGGTATATATAAACATTCTATTTATTTAATTTATTTATTAAAAGCCTTGAATATTTTTGTTACCTACCTCTAGTTCAAAAGAATTTAAAAGTTTTAAATATTCATTTTCTATTGCTTCAGTCCCCGTTATTGTGGATTCTTCTAATATTTCATAAGTCTGAAATATCTGAGCTGTAAGTGTTGTGTCCTTTTCCTTAAATTTATCATTTGATTCCAGTAAACAATTTTCATTTATAGAATCTTCAGTGTTACTATTTTTTATGAAAAATGCTGAAGAATGCTTTCCTAATATGTACCATCTTAGGCTTAAAAACATAGATGATTAATTTTATTAAAGATTAAATATTTTAGTGAGTTATGTAAATTCAATATTACCGATATTTGAAATCTATAGGGGTTGGATGGTCATTTGATCCTCCCATGCCTCTCATAAAACTGAAAAAGTTTTCTAATACCTAAATAAATGAAGGTACATATAGTTAATTATTTTTATAAATAAGTAGATAGAATAACTTATAATTACATCCTGGTTAAGTCGTCTTGTAATAATATATTCTATACCAATATAATCTTTAAGATCTTTGTACAGGTTTCTTAAAGATAAATTTGAAATCAGAATTCCCTTTTGGAATGTCATAAGTTGTTTTTTTCCATGTACTCTCATTGTACTAATAAAATTATCCATCAAATTTAAAATATGGTTCTGTTCATCCAAATGTATTCCATATGCACTGGAATTGTCCCCCAACATTTGCTGAGAGTTATGAAGATCAAACCAGTTATTTATCAACAAAATTGCTTCTGAACACTAAATATAAACAATTATAGTAAGTAATTATACAATGTGATAATATCCAAACTCAGGAAATTTTAGTGTACTTCTTTCCAATTAGATGTTAGTGCGCCCATGTCTCCATAGTATTGCATTGCTTTACCAACTGTCCTGGAAAGAAGTTGGGCCGCGGTTTTAACTTTTTGACGTTGAACTCCACTGACATTTAAATGAAACTCTGTCACTTTGTAAGTAAAAGTCAAGTCATTTGAACCTTGTACTTTCAACAATGATTCAAACAAACTTTTACCTATGTATTTATTACCTTAACATAAAGAAATTTTAATACATTGTTATGAATATAATATGAAGTAAACTAAATTGTCACAATTTATATGAACTTAAAGTATTACCATTTTCAGTAACCATATTAAATCCATGATCAATGATGTTATTTCTTATCAATTTCAATAAATGTGGTACATCGGCAAAGACATGGATATTTTTTCCAGTGTTTGGATGTAAAAAACTACTATTTGTTTGGGTAATTTTCAATGAATTCCACAAAGAAATGTTAGTAGGACCCATATCACTTGTAACTGCTGCCACATTATATCCACAGTTATATAATTTACTAATTATGTTGTTTAGTATTGAAGCAGTCATTGGTGTGTCATAAGAATAAAAGACTGGCTGCTTCCAAGATTTGAAGAGTCCTCTAACCATGACCACTTGCACAGTTTGATGGGGTCCTAAAACTTGATCAATTGCTTTATCATAGCATACATCATGTGCAATGTAAACTTCATCAAAAGAGAGAACAACAATTTTATCTCTATCAGACATGGATGTACCTTAAATAATAGGTTATTATTAGTGATATTATAATTTATAATACTACCAAATGTTAATTAGTTAATTAATTATTAATGTTAATAACCTTTTTGTTTCATGATACTTAAAACATTATCTAATACGCCTAGCTCTATGGAAAATGTTTTNGTGTCCTTTTCCTTAAATTTATCATTTGATTCCAGTAAACAATTTTCATTTATAGAATCTTCAGTGTTACTATTTTTTATGAAAAATGCTGAAGAATGCTTTCCTAATATGTACCATCTTAGGCTTAAAAACATAGATGATTAATTTTATTAAAGATTAAATATTTTAGTGAGTTATGTAAATTCAATATTACCGATATTTGAAATCTATAGGGGTTGGATGGTCATTTGATCCTCCCATGCCTCTCATAAAACTGAAAAAGTTTTCTAATACCTAAATAAATGAAGGTACATATAGTTAATTATTTTTATAAATAAGTAGATAGAATAACTTATAATTACATCCTGGTTAAGTCGTCTTGTAATAATATATTCTATACCAATATAATCTTTAAGATCTTTGTACAGGTTTCTTAAAGATAAATTTGAAATCAGAATTCCCTTTTGGAATGTCATAAGTTGTTTTTTTCCATGTACTCTCATTGTACTAATAAAATTATCCATCAAATTTAAAATATGGTTCTGTTCATCCAAATGTATTCCATATGCACTGGAATTGTCCCCCAACATTTGCTGAGAGTTATGAAGATCAAACCAGTTATTTATCAACAAAATTGCTTCTGAACACTAAATATAAACAATTATAGTAAGTAATTATACAATGTGATAATATCCAAACTCAGGAAATTTTAGTGTACTTCTTTCCAATTAGATGTTAGTGCGCCCATGTCTCCATAGTATTGCATTGCTTTACCAACTGTCCTGGAAAGAAGTTGGG